CACAAGGCCTGCGGCTGGTGACTTTACAAATTGCTGCACATTCACACAGTGGACCAGTACCCAGGGGTAAAAAGGAGGACATTATGATTCATGCAACCATTCAGGCAGGTCTCAAACGTAAATGCTCAGAGTAGCCAGATTCCAAGGCTACCTCTTTTTTTTTTTAATTTATTTATTCACGAGAAAAACAGAGAGAGAGAAAGAAACATAGGTAGAGGAGGAAGCAGGCTCCCTGCAGGGAGCCCGATGTGGGACTCGATCCCAGGACTCCAGGATCACACTCCAAGGCAAAGGCAGATGCTCAACCATTGAGCCACCCAGGCGGCTCCCAAGGCTACCTCCTACTCCATGATTCCACCTGCACGTTTCCATTTTTACAACATCCTGGAAAAGGCAAAACTAATAGGGTAAAGACCAATGGTTGCACAGGACATAGAGTGGGGCAAAGAAAGGGCCATGAAGGAACACAAGGTCATGGAGGGGTGATGGAACTGCTCTCTGCTTGGACTATGGTGGTGGTTACAGGACTGTAAGCATCTTTCAAAATGTCACAGAATTCTACATGAAAAAGAATAAATTTTACCATATGTAAATCATACCTCAATTTAAAAACTAGTTTATGAGTCTAAAAAAAGAAGGTCCTTGGAGGGGGGACTCAGTCAGTTAAGCATCAGACTCTTGGTTTCGGCTCAGGTCATGACCTCAGGGTGGTGAAATCGAGTCCCACCACAGGCTCTGCTCTCAGAGCGGGGAGTCTGCTTGAGATGCTCTACCTCTGCCCCTCTCCCCACTCATCAGTGAACCTGCTCTCTCTAAAATAAATACAATCTTAAAAAAAAAAAAAAAGAGGGATCCCTGGGTGGCGCAGCGGTTTGGCGCCTGCCTTTGGCCCAGGGCGCGATCCTGGAGACCCGGGATCGAATCCCACGTCGGGCTCCCGGTGCATGGAGCCTGCTTCTCCCTCTGCCTGTGTCTCTGCCTCTCTCTCTCTCTCTCTGTGACTGTCATAAATAAATAAACATTAAAAAAAAAAAAGATGTGAAGCAAACATGGCAAAATGTCAAAAGATTGGACAAGGCTAAGTGGCAGATGTCCAGGTGTTTGTGATTGTATCTTTTATACTTCTTTGTATGTCCAGAATAATTCCTAATAAAAAGCTACATTTTAAATTATTTTTAATCACAAGGAATGATTTTTTAAAGGGCTGCTTGTCCTCTGATGGGATATCGCCTATGCAGTATTTTTACTAAAAATGCCTAACCTAAACGTAAACATGAAGAAACAGACAAATCCGAATTGAGTGCTATTTTGCTAAGTGACTTCCCTTGTCCTTCATAAATTTCAGTGACACAAAAAAGCCAGGGAACTGACCTAAATTAAAGGAGACCAAGAAGCCATGACAACTAAACACAACGTACAATTTTTTACTGGATCCTGGAGTAGAGAAAACAAACTCTAGAATATATTATTGGGACAACTGAAGAAATTTGAACATAAACTATGTGTCATGGTATCGGATCAATGTTAAATTTCTCAAGTGGGATAATTACAGAATGATGATGTTAGGTCTTTTTTCTCAGGATATACATGTGTAAGGACCTAGGGTTCTCAACTAATTCTCAAGTGGTTCAGCAAAAAAGCAAATAATTCTCTATATATCTATTTATAAAGAAATACGTAAACCAACCAATTATTAATAATTAGGGTATAGAACATACGGTTCTTCTCAATATGGTTTTTGTAACTTGTTTTTATATCTGAAAATCTTCAAAATATCAAGTTGGAGAAAAATGCTTAAATAAACTTTTAAGGCATCACCGATCCTTTGAAGTTTCCAGAAGTTATCTTTTTTCTTTTCTTTAAAGAAACCCAGCCTATAAAGCCTCAGAACTGTAGGCCGGGTTCAGTTTTACCAGCCAGGGGAACACGTGCTTTCCTGGGAGGGGATGGGCTCACTAGGGTACGGTGCCACCCCAGCTCTGACACTGGCTGCTTCCAGCCAAGTCTAGAAAGCAACACTGCCCACATTGTAAACACCAGCCTTACACATTTTCCCCCCTTGCGTGTCTGTTGTATTTCCATTAGAAAAATATCATCTATATAAAATTTTGGTCCACTTTCTTCTCCTTTATCCCTAACATCCAAACTCAAATACTTAAATTTTATTCAAGCAAAAGCAGAATCATTTATCTGGCAAGAGAACTACATATTTCACATCGTTAATAGGGTTTAATTGAATTAGACGTGTTCTTTATTATTTCTCAGGAATGATTGATCTACCTTTTCTATGTTGTTTCCTACATTATTTGTTATTTCCTTTTACTTTCACTTCCCTGAGTAATTATGTCTTGAGCATCTCATTCCCCATATTCAGTAATATGTGCGTCCAAGTGTGATTTATAACATCATCTCATCTTTAATTTCTGTTCAATTCCCCTTAGTGTATGGTATTTCCATAATAACTCCAGATATTTTAGTCGAACACACTTGCCAAGGTCGATTGTAAAAATTAAGATGTTAATTTTAAAATGCCATGACAGGGGAATCAATCCCTGGGTGGCGCAGCAGTTTGGCACCTGCCTTTGGCCCAGGGCGCGATCCTGGAGACCCCGGATCGAATCCCACGTCGGGCTCCCGGTGCATGGAGCCTGCTTCTCCCTCTGCCTGTGTCTCTGCCTCTCTCTCTCTCTGTGACTATCATACAAAAATAAAATAAAATAAAATAATAAAATAAAATAAAATAAAATAAAATAAAATAAATAATAAAAAATAAAATAAAATAAATAAAAAATTAAATTAAATTAAATTAAATTAAATTAAATTAAATTAAATTAAATTAAATTAAATGCTGTGACAATTCCAAACCAAACAGCAAGCCTTGGCCACTTATAGTCATGTTGACAGGAGAGGTCCTTGGACTTTCAATCTCAACGCAGCCTCCTTTGGTAGGAAAACCACTCCTGAGATGCTGTTTGTGGATTCCATGGACAGCACTGAAATCGTTCATGTGAGTCAAAGAACAGCTGTTTTACCACAGCCTGCAGCTTTCAGAATTTCACCCGTGTCACCTGTGTTTGCTTAGCTCCTGCCACCCCTCCTGGCACAAGCTGTCCACTTGAAGGGTCCACACCTCGCTGTCCAGAAAGATAGTCGGCTGGAACACAGCTTGACTGTTAGCCCAAAGGCCCTGGGACTTTTCCAGTCCGATCACCTTTCTTATCAAAGATGCCACAGCTAATCCTTTTCTCCTGCAGCCCTGCTGGGAGAACAGGCCCACGTACACCATTCCCCCTGCGTCTCACTGCACTCCTGACCGTGGCACGCTGCCTGCACTGCTTTAATACATATTTTTAATCAACACCTTTTTCTTCACTAGATTCACCCTAACAGCCTTGCAACGCTAGTTATGTTTTTATTTCTAAAATCTCTTACAACAAATATTAACTGTTAACTTTTAAAAATTTAAAAGTAATTTCTAATGATGCGAACTACTCCCATATTGCACAGAACTCTGCTGAGGGTGAACAGGTAAGAACTGGAGGTGTGGGCAGACCAGAGCTGACAGGGTACAGGGTAGAGAAAAGGATCCAAGACAGGGGTCGCTTCCCCAGTCTGAGGCAGGGAGAAAGCAACATCCCCCCCCCTTGCCAAAAACTCTGTCCCAGGGGATTTTGCACGTGGTAGGATCCGTAACCCTAGAAGAGCCGTGTCTTTCCAAAGGAGAAACTGGAGATGCCTATTTAGGACTGGTGATGAAGAGGGGCCTGCTAATTGGATCTGAAACCCCTAAAAGTCTTGGAATGAATCCTCTTTGAGAATCAGATGCTTCAAATGTTCGTGAACTCTCCTCATATAAATCACCTACCTAAGCCCTAAAACAAGAGAGGGAAAGTTGATGGTCTTTCAAAATCCCATCATTTGCTACGTTCCTCTCCTCTGCCCAAAGCAACATGATTTAAAAAAAAAAAAAAGAAAAAAAAAAGGTTTGGATTTCCTTTTCCAAGGGACTGAAAGCCAGCCCTTTTCTCTGCTATCTAAACTCCTCCCTCAAAAAAAAAAAAATTAACTCCTCCCTCCAACTCACCTTGTGAACACAGTATACCTCAGTCTCCCCCCCCCCCCATCTCACCTGAGATGCAGGTAAGTCTACACCGTCTTACCTGAGACACGAAACTGCAGCTGCGGGCAGGTCCCACCTCCCTCCACCCGGCCGGGACGGAGCATCACCGGAGCGGGGCGGGGGTTGGGTACCGAGCATCACGGGAGCCCCAGGGGCCGGGCATCACCGGAGGGGGGGGCGGTACCGAGCATCACCGGAGCCCCGGGGGCCGGGCATCACCGGAGGGGGGGGCGGTACCGAGCATCACCAGAGCCCCGGGGGCCGAGCATCACCGGAGGGGGTGGCGGTACCGAGCATCACCAGAGCCCCGGGGGCCGAGCATCACCGGAGCGGGGCGGGGGGGGGGGCGTACCGAGCATCACCGGAGCCCCGGGGGCATCACCGGAGCCCGGGGGCCGAGCATCCCGGAGGGGGGGTGGCGGTACGAGCATCACCGGAGCCCCGGGGTCGAGCATCCCCGGAGGGGGGGGTGGCGGTACCGAGCATCACCGGAGCCGGGGCGCACGCGCGGGGAGGGGCCCCCAGAGGCGGGGGGCGGCGCGGGCGGGGTTCCCGGGGGCGGCCGGGCCGGGCGCGCATGGAGCGGTGGTTGCCCCGCGGCCGAGGTGCGCGCGCCGGAGAGGAGCCGTCGGGCGGCCCCCAAGTCCCGGGGCCGGGGAGCGGGGGAGCACCGGAGGAGTTTCGGGGCCCGGGGCCACGACTGCCTTTGCACCCCGTGTCCCTGGCCGTACGCTGGCGCCCCGGGGCGGAAGGGCGCGTCGAGGGAGCGCAGGCGGGGGCCCGGGGCGCACGCGGCAGCCCACCCGCGAGCCCGGAGCCCGGAGCCCGGAGCCGGGAGGCCGGAGGCCGGAGGCCGGAGCCCGGGGCGGCCCCTGCTCACCTTCAGCACCAGCACCTCGAGCATCTTGCCGCGCCCCTGCCGGGCCTCCGGGCCTCCGGGCCTCCGGGCCGCCGCTCCCTCCCTCGGAAGGCCGGTGCCGGCCGATCCCGCCGTCGGGGCCCCGCAGGCCCGCCCGTCCGCGCCCTCGGGCTCGGCCACCGCGCACGCCTCGAGCCTTCCAGAAGGCCGCCCGCCAACCGCCGGGGCAACCGCCGGCCTCCCTGCGCAGGGGGCGGCGGGGCGGGGCGGGGCGGGGCGCGCGGGGCGGGGCGGGGGCGGGGGCGGGGCCCGGGTCACGTGGCCGCCCCGACCCCCGCGGGCTCCCCCCCACCTGGAGGCCTCAGGGGTCAGGAAGGCGCGCGCAGGCCGCCAATGCGGAGCTGGGGACGCCCCGCACCCCCCCCCCCCCCCGCACCCTCCACCTCCTGCTTGGGCCCCGATTTCCTCCCAGCTGGCCCTTAGGTGGCAGGGCTCCCCCAGACTGTCACTGGCCACTCCGGGCACCAAACCGCAGCCCCCCCTGGACGGGGGCTCTAACCCGCGCGTGTTGATGCTGTTGGGGCACCCAGGAGTCCTCTAAATTTGGAACACCTGGACGCCTCAGTTTTTCTCACCTAAAAAAAAAAAATGAGACGATTAGATGGGGTCACTCCGTGTGAAATAAAGGGCACCCAAGAAGCACTCAGGGAGGGGTGGCTGTCATTACCATCTCAGGAATCTCTCTCTGACACTTGAACAAGCCAACAAATAAGAAGAGAAATGAAGAGTCCTTAAAAAATCAAAGGAAGCGCAGCTAGAATAAGACCATTGAAAGTCCGGCTTACGTGGTTTTATAGGTGAATTCCTCAATATCTTGATTGTGGGGGAAAAAAAAAAAAGTAAGCCCATGTCCAAAGGCATTAATTTGCCAGTCAGGGGAACCAAGGAGATGGCAAAAAAAAAAAAAAAAAAAAAAAAAAAGGCACCAGTTTTAAGAGAGTACGACGCTTGTGGGGCTAGGTTTTTGGGAAACGATGCTCACAAAAGCGTCCAGCTTTAAAAGTCTGTTATAGATTTCACAAGGTCAGGTGACATCATGGGCTCCAGGTCTCCGGCAGGAGAGTTGGAGAGAAGTGTGTGGACTTCCAGTCCTCAGGGAGACACAGCTGCCAAGCATGCGTACACCTGTTGCTGACCTGGGCTAACCAGGCTTCTCCCCCAGTGGAGGCACCTGGCAGGACCAACTCACCTGAAAGAGATGCGAAAGGACCAGATCTTATTTAAACAGGAGGTGCCAGGAGTTCCCAAGCCCCAGAGAGGGTGCGGAGTACAGCTATCTCCCAGGTTAGCTGGGGTCAACACGTTTTTTTTCTTTTGACTAGAACCCGTGCTACAATGTGATGTTTCCCAAACTTTTTCACAACACAACTCAAGGAAAATGGAAGCGTCTCTACATCATGCTGGGGTGAAGAGTCAGGACCGCTGCAGCGGGAGCTCCCTGCCCTTTGAGGCTGAAGGGGATCAGTATCTGTACCTGTAGCCTGTTTCCCCAACACACCCACCCACTAGCCAGTGGGGAGCCTTGTTTTGGACATCACTCCAAAATAGAAAAGTCATGGGTATGTGATGTACAGCATGGTGATTACAGTTAATAATATTGTATTATGTATTTGAAAATTGTTAAGAGTAGATCTTAAAAGGTCTCATCAACAGAAATCGATTTTTTGTGTGTGTGGCTATGTATGGGGACAGAGGTCAGCTAGACTTATTGTAGTGATCATTTCAAGATCTATACAGATATCGAATCATTGTGTTGTACACCTCAAAGTGATGCAATATATTCATTATACCTCAATAATAAATTTTAAAAAATACTCCACAAGGGTGTCTGGCTGGCTTAGTCGGCAAAGCCTGTGATCCTTGATCTCAGGGTTGGGGGGTTCCAGCCCCACACTGTGTGTACAGATGGCTTAAAAATAAAATCTTTTAGAAGATTGCTTCGTGATATAAGATGAAAAGATTATTCCCAGTGCATTTTCATAAGGACTTAACCTGCATAAGTTAAGTCCCAATATTAAAACCAGAGAAAGAGGGATCCCTGGGTGGCGCAGTGGTTTGGCGCCTGCTTTTGGCCCAGGGCGTGATCCTGGAGACCCGGGATCGAATCCCATGTCGGGCTCCCGGTGCATGGAGCCTGCTTCTCCCTCTGCCTGTGTCTCTGCCTCTCTCTCTCTCTCTCTGTGACTATCATAAATAAATAAAAATCAAAAAAAATTAAAAAATAAAAATAAAATAAAATAAAACCAGAGAAAGATAACACAAAGAGTTATAGACTAACTTCACCTGTCAACATAGGTGCTGAAATCTCAAATGAAAAGCCACCAAGTAAAACCCAGGATTAAAAAAATAAAAATTAAGCCGTGGCCAAATAGGCTATAAGGCTTATAGGGGTGCATTTAATACTGGTCAGCAACAAATATGGCTCAGTATACCCTGTTATAGTGTGACACATACATAGAAGCCTGGTTTTGTGGACAATCTTCTCTTTTTCTTCCTGAAAATCTGTGCATTCTTTATCTTTGAAATTCAAAATATCATCCAGCTATTGGGCCATTTTTGTTAATTCTCCTTTGACAGCAACAGGATCTTTTTTTTTTAAATTCTTTATTTTTTTTTATTTTTTATTTATTTATGATAGTCACAGAGAGAGAGAGAGAGAGGCAGAGACACAGGCAGAGGGAGAAGCAGGCTCCATGCACCGGGAGCCCGACGTGGGATTCGATCCCGGGTCTCCAGGATCGCGCCCTGGGCCAAAGGCAGGCGCCAAACCGCTGCGCCACCCAGGGATCCCCCAACAGGATCTTTTTATCTGAAGATCAACATTTTTCTTCAGCTCCAGGAAACTTTATTCTCTTCTCTAAACAATGTTTATCTTCTCTTTGTCCTAGAATTTTCTTTTATAGATATAAATGATCCACATGTTGGATGCTCATCCTCACCTGTTTTCCTGGGGCAGTAGTAACAGAGAGACTCCAGAACAAAAATAGTTCAGAGATCCAGGTTTGTTTCAAGGCGACAGTATGTGCAAAGATCCCGAGGTGGGAAAGGACTTTGAGTAATCAAGGAACAGAAAGAAGACCCTTCTGATGGGAGTGTAGGAGAAGAGTGTATGAGGTCAGAGAAAAAAGCCACTGAAGGGTTTTAATGAAGGCAGTGACAGGACATGGCTCACATTTTTATACCGAGAGCACTTTTCCAGTTCAGTAGGAGAGAACACGTCATGAGCTTGAGAATGGAGATGGAGAGACTAGTTCTTACATTTGTTACAGGGCTGCTCGAGTTGGCGAGGTGAGCTATAGCTGAGGCGATGGCAGTGCAGAGGACAAGATGGGATAGTCCAGGTAACTGTGGGCAACAGAATCGACGGGACTTGCTAGTCACCTGGGTGTACAAATCAAGGAAAAGGAGGAATCAAGAATGACTAATATTTTTTAGCTTAAATCACTGGTAGATTTCTGATATAGGGGAGACTGTGCTTAAAAGGGACATTATAGGTTAGGAAACAAGCTTAACTGTTTCACCAAAGAGACCCCAAAATATAGTGGCTTATATATATTTGATTATAGGATTATAGGATTTATGGCTCCTTGGGTGGCTCAGCGGTTAGGCGTCTGCCTTTGGCTCAGGGTGTGACCCCGGGGTCCCAGGATTGAGACCTGCATGGGGGTCCCTGCATGGAGCCTGCTTCTCCCTCTGCCTGGGTCTCGGCCTCTCTCCCTGGGTCTCTCATGAATAAATAAATACAATCTTACAAAAAAGATTATATGATTTTATTTATTTATTCATGAGAGACCCAGAGAGAGAGAGGCACAGGCACAGGCACAGGCAGAGGGAGAAGCAGGCTCCATGCACCGGGAGCCCGACGCGGGACTCGATCCCGGGTCTCCAGGATCAGGCCCTGAGCCAAAGGCAGATGCCTAACTGCAGAGTCACCCAGGTGCCCCAAGTGGCTTATATTTTCTTTCACGGCACAAGCAAGAGGTGAACAGTCCAAGTCTGGCAGGCAGTTCTGCCCTAACATCTGGCTTTGGTCTCTGGGTCCCAGGGAGCTGCTCCAGTTGTCACAGTTTTCAGCCAGTGAGAAGGAAAAAGAGAAAGTGGAGGGCAAGCAGTTCCCTTTATAAAGGATGTGACCTGGAAGTTGCTTCCGTCAGCCAAGGATACAAGAGGGTCTGGGAACAGGTACTGAGGGGGTTCTAGATTGGTTACAAGTTGGGAGAGAACGAGTAGCTGAAGAGAAGCAAGGAGGAGCGGAAAATCGCCAAATGTTGCGGAGAGGTTCAAAGCTAAATAGAGGTTTGAGAAGGGACGGTCAGGAACAACCTATGCCCAAATAGGAGTTATCCCACAGGAGAGAAGTCTCCTTACACCTGAGCCCTATGTGTCTCCCTACTATTGGGCACTCTTGTTTATAGGAACAGCTGTGAGGACGAGACATGTTAACCTGGAATGCTGATGCCTGCCCAGTTATGGATTCTCATGGAAGTCATTCAAAGGAATCAGCAAAAGAAGGTAATGGAAATGCATATGGACTTCGTATTTGTTCCTGAGTTTGTGACTTCAGTTGCAGAAGGCTGTTTACTATTGTAGAAAAGGAGTTTTCCTGGCTGCATCCTGGATGAGATGGCATGGAGCAGGGATGCCAGTGGGGGCAGGAAGGGGTCTAGAAGGAGTAGGGACACGTGGTCAGCTTCCTCCTTCTGCATCTGAGGCCTACGTGCCTCACATACAGGAGGTATTGGTACCAGAAGAACATACGGTAAATGCCACAAACACTCGCCAGCTAGGCTCTAAAACAACACTCCATCAGCTCATGACGACGGCCCTGTAATTTTGTGTTGGGGCTTTTTTTTTTAAGATTTTTTAAAAAAGATTTTATTTATTTATTCATGAGAGAGAGAAGCAGAGACACAGGCAGAGGGAGAAGCAGGCTCCATGCCAGGAGCCCGACGCGGGACTCGATCCCGGGACTCCAGGATCACGCCCTGGGCCGAAGGCAGGCGCTGAACTGCTGAGCCACCCAGGGATCCCCAATGTGTTGGGGCATTTGGATATCACGACAGGTAGGCAGTTATGTGAGTCTCTCAAAGAATTCTTGGAAGGAGGCAAAGTTCCATTCAGGTGAAAAAGACAACAAAAACACATCTTTACGAACAAAACGAAGTCACATTGTCACATCTCCTAAGATCACCCCGAGCTATGTAACCCCAGCAGAAAGGGTGCAGGACTAGGAGAGTTGGGAGTCTTGTGGGCCTCTCCCAGCCACGGGAGCGAGCCTGGAACACCCTCCTGCCGACAGGAACAGTCCTCACAGCCCGCGCTGGCCTCCCGGCCTCGTGTGGGAATGTCTTTCCCTGTTTCAGACTCAACGTCGTCCTCCTTTGCTCTGTGTAAGCACGTGCATCATAGGACACGTGGCTGATCCCACTACTGTATCCGCCCACCGTGGGGAGGAGACAAGAGGGGCGTTTGCAGGTCAACTGCCCAGTGTCACCTGCAGGGAGGACTGGCCGTGGAGGACTGGCGTGCGCTGCGGTAGCTGACTCCGCTCTGCCTCTTCTCGGTGAATACAGCGTTCTTCCACCCAGTGCTTGGCTGGGCTGTGGTTTCCTTGGCGGCTCTGACACCAAGACGCAGGGGGTAGAATTGTTAACATGTCTGCTTTGGGCAATAGGTAAAGCAGATGTCACTTGCTTGACAAAGGATCCGGTTCTTCTCGTGGCTACGGCACTAGCCGCTGGGCTAATCTGTTTCTCGGTTTCCTACCTGGCAAGTATTGGTGTTCAGGGACTTCTCTTCCAGCTGTAACATAATATTTTCTGTGAGAATGAAAGAATATTATGCCCAAGGCCGGACATCAGTGAGGAGAACTTTTTATTTTTTTAAAGATTTTATTTATTTATTCACGAGAGACACAGAGAGAGGCAGAGACACAGGCAGAGGGAGAAGCAGGCTCCATGCAGGGAGCCCGACGTGGGACTCGATCCCGGGTCTCCAGGATCACACCCCGAGCCGAAGGTGGTGCTAAACCGCTGAGCTACCGGGGCTGCCCCAGTGAGGAGAACTTCTGTAGATCCAGAAGCCAGAGGGAATGCTAACAGTAAATGGTTCTCAAAATTTAGACATCGGAACCATTCACTGCAGAAAACAGATTGTACTTTAGATCCAGAGTTTCCCAACCTTGGCCAGATAATTGTTGTGGACAGCTGTCCTAGGATATTAAGCCGTGCACCCTGGCCTCCCCTCACTAGATGGTAGAAGCATCTCGTTCTCAGCTGTGACAACCAAAAATGTTTCCAGACACCGCTCACAGTCTCTTGAGCGGCCAAAGTGCCCTGGGTGAACCACTCATCTAGATGTATTCCTCTAGCCAAGGTTAAGTAATCCACATATACCTTATTCATCAGTACCTCCATTTTATAGGTAGGAAAACAAAGACATTTCATGAAACATAAAATCCACTGTATGATGCATAACCTAGTCAAGGATCTGAAACAGAACTGATGTCTTAGCCATTTCCCATCTTTAATAATCAATAAACAGTATTGCTCTTAAGAGAACGTGAAGAAAATTATCCATATCAAAAGCACGGAAAATAAGCATCATTAATAAAAACCATCGAATGACTAGATTTTACTTCTAATCTCTTTGGATTCATTAGCTACTCCTCCAGAGTTAAAATAATTACTTTTTTTTTTTTTTTTTAAAGATTTTATTCGTTTATTTGAGAGGGAGAGAGTGAGTGAGTGAGAGAGAGAGCGTGCATACAAGCCGGGGGAAAGGCAGAGGGAGAAGCAGACTCCCCACTGAGCAGGGAGCCCAACATGAGGCTCGACCCCGGGACCCTGGGATCATGAGCTGAGCCGAAGGGAGATGCTTAACCGACAGAGTCACCCAGGCACCCCTAATTATGGCTTTTGTTAATGGCTTCATGTTTCCCACTGGGTAAACCTAGTAACTAAGGCCATCTGGTAATAACCAAAATAGTCTGTTAAATCATCAAGCTAGCAGAACAAGAAAATAATGACACTGTTGCCTGAAGGGTTGTCTCCGTCTACTCCTGTTGACCCTCGCTTCGACGAATCCCAGCATATCTAAGGAAGGCATGGATCCATCTCGTAAGCACATCACGGAAAGTGCGAATATACCGGACAATGGCAGTAGAACATCTTACTTAAACTGCTGATAATAAAACAACACAGAAGTAGGAACCCTTCTGCACCGTCTTCTCCTCATTCTGGGAACAAGATTGTTAATGCTTTATTGATACTGGATGTTACCAGAAGGTTTGAAGGGCGAAATAAGCAAAGAAGTGCTACAGTGGACTTGAAATGTGCAAGTCTGTACTGTAGCTTCCAGGCAGGTCCTTAGGTTCCAAGCAAGTCTGGTCACCCCTCAGTATTCGGTAGGACAGCTTCAAACAGGCAACTAAGCGAGTACAAATAAGGAGCACTCTACAAACGGCTCTTACTTACTACGAAGGTCTTAGGATAAATATGTTTATGCTTTGACTGGATAGTCACGTGGATATCAAACACGTGGTGGCTGTGTAACACTAGTCGGTGAAGCGTCTTGCTTTCCTTCATGATGTCTTCAATCTTCTTTCCAGAGGACATAACATTTTCTAAATATTCTGAATCTTCTGAGTACAACTCATCTCCTGAAATATAGTTATTTTGATTCCACAGTGTTATTTTACAAGATATTCCAAAACGTTAGCCACATATACATTGGTATTTATTTATTTTCCTCTATGTCGTGTTTGGAGCTGAGATAGGCATTAAGTAACTCTAATTTTATGAGCGTACCTAAATTTCTTTCTTGTGTTTTTAATACCTACTTCCCCCGCCTCCCCAGTCACCAGGCAAGAATTTTCTTTGGGCACATAAATATTTATGACTGGTATTTTTTCATCACAAACTATCCCTTCTAGACTAGCTCATGACTTGCTTTATCCTAGTCAGTATTAATATTGGCCGTGATAGCAATGTATTTTTGGGTTTCTATGTGGGCTGTTCTAAGGATTTTAAGGTTAAATTACAGAGATTAACACTTACACATCAAAACTGCTAAACCATCCCACTGTAGGATGAGGAACAAATATCATCCTGTTCTGAGAACTGAGCCAAGTAGCTGGGAAACAGGTCACAAAGTTCTACTCTAAAATGCCATAAAACCCCTGCCTGGCACTTGCCCAACAATCGACCACCAACAAACTCCCTAATTCAAATAAACTGACAATTTCTCATGATTCAAATTCTTAATAGAGTGTACTCGAAAACAGATGTTCCCAACTTCATAGTTTGTTTGCTCTCACCATTCAAAATTAAAAAGTAAAAAACAAAACAAAAAAAAACTAAAATGTAAAAAAGTAAGATAATATATAAGAAAGAACTTTGTCAATGTCTAGGAAACATTTAAATAAATGTATATGCACATGTATAAAGTGAGTTATTCAGAACTTCTAGTTATAATAAACACTATGGATATCTTACAGACTTTGACCTTACTTAATAAACTGCTGCATTGTGTAAAGCAGACAGTAATTCGTGTCTGTGTTATGCAATACTGCCATACAGCCCCGTGCATTAAATATGACCACTAAATATGAGAAAGCACTGATGCTTCACTGACTTACCTGGTAAAAGCTGGACCATTGCGTTAGCAGTTAAAAACGTGATTGGCAACCATTTTTCTATTCCTTCCGACGTACCGTCCAAACAAACTTTGTGCAAGTCAGAGAGAGAGGTAAAGTTAGCGAGTCTTCTTATTTCATAGAATTGTGGAGGTGCCAGGCAAATTTCTTTTTTCATGAAACTCTCAGTTGCCTCTGATGGAGATGACCACTGTGGAAGATAAAGGTCAGGGTTCCTAAGGCTTATTCCAAACGCAATCAAAGATTGGAAATCATTGGAGTGCTACCCAAATCGAACGAAGTTGTATAATTAATTCATTAATGTGCTTGATTCCTCTGAGACAGCATGAAAAAATTTGATAACAAACCTTCCCCCTCCTCAAGAGGTTTGTTAATGAAAAAGATCTGAAGTGAAAAATACACAGGATAGTACAGCAGACTAGATGCTACATATGAGACAGAGAAGCTGAAAATGTAGCAATAGAATCTATTCAAAATAAGGCACAGAGAGAAAAATATTTGAAGAAAAAATGAAAAAGGTATCAGTGACATTATCAAGTGGTCCAATGTAAATGTGTAATTGGAATCCCAGGAAATAGAGGAAGGTGAAAAATATCTGAAGGAACAAATAAGACAAAAAAGAAAACCATGCACAATAGTGATCAAATTGATGAACACCAATGATTAAAACACTTTTTTTTTTAATTTTTATTTATTTATGGTAGTCACGCACACACAGAGAGGGAGGAGAGAGAGAGAGAGAGAGAGAGAGGCAGAGACACAGGCAGAGGGAGAAGCAGGCTCCATGCACCGGGAGCCCGACGTGGGATTCGATCCCGGGTCTCCAGGATCGCGCCCTGGGCCAAAGGCAGGCGCCAAACCGACTGCGCCACCCAGGGATCCCTCTTGAACACCAATGATTAACAGGAAATATTTAGAGGAGCCACACACACCAAAAAAAAAAAAAAAAAAAGAACCCCATATTGTGTACAGAGAAACAAATAGTTAAAAGCAGACTTCTCGTTATAAATTACACCAATTAGAATATACCAAAGCAACATCTTTAAGTAGTGACTATCATTCTGCACCCGGCCAAAAATACTTAAAAAAAAAAAATGAAGGCAAAATAAAGTATTTTTCAGATAAACACAATTTACAAGATTCACTATCAGAAGATCTGAAATGTGGGCAGCCCCGGTGGCTCAGCGGTTTAGCGCCGCCTTCAGCCCAGGGCCTGATCCTGGAAACCTGGGATAGAGTCCCACGTTGGGCTCCCTGCAAGGAGCCTGCTTCTCCCTCTGCCTGTGTGTATCTCTCTCTCTGGGTCTCTCATGAATAAATAAATAAAATCTTTAAAAAAAAAATGCGTGAAGGAAAACTTGACAGAACTAAAAGAGAAAAAGATATCCACAATTACTCATTAGAAATGTCCCTATTCCTGGGGCGCCTGGCTTGCTTGGCCAGTAGAGCTTGCAACTCTTGATCTCAGAGTTGTGAATACAAGCCCCATGTTGAGTGTAGAGATTACTTAAAAAGAGAAAATATTTGGGCAGTCCGGGTGGCTCAGCAGTTTAGCACCGCCTTCGGCCCAGAACGTGATCTTGGAGACCCGGGTTCGAGTCCCACATCGGGCTCCCTGCATGGAGCCTGCCTCTCCTTTCTGGGTCTCTCTCATGAATAAGTAAATAAAAAATATAAAAAGACTGTTTTTCCAGCCTTCCTATCAGTATCCAATAGAACAAGGAAACCGTACGGAAGAACTGAAAGGTGCCACCAACAAATTTAACCAAATTGATGTTTTTGCAAGCACAGCACCCGACACAGCATTATTCTTTTTTAGGTGCAAAGGAAACATTTACCACGATGGAATCCTACTTGTGGCCACAAAACAAATCTCAATACATTTAGGGCCTCCATCACAGTAAAGTACGCTGTCCTGGGGCATAACTAGACTGCGTGGGCATGACACGAGGCAACCGCAGGCGAAGTGCTTAGGAAGGAGCCTGGCAGCTGAGCAGCTCCGTGCAGCTCCAGGGAGCTCCCCCCTGGGGGTGGGGTGGGGAGCACAGGGCCTCCGGGTCTCCGAAGCAGCTGGGGAAAGCAGGGAGCCCTCCAGCCAGGTGCTGGCTTGACCTGCGGGGCTGCACAGCTCGGCTGCCATGCCCACACTGCAGCTACACCCACGGGGATTCGGTTCACTTTCGACCTCACAACTTGAGGATGCTGCAGAAAGCCTTATGCATTCAGCGGAAAGGTCACCTCTGGTTTCTGACCCGCCCCCCAAACCCCCCTCCCAGCTGGCTACTAACTACCTAAGGAGCGCTGCGCGGGAGCCGAGCCGGGGGCAAGCTCCCCATCGGGCGGGAGGTCAGCAAGGTGCACGCTGCCCCGGTCCCCTGCAGCTCAGATCAGGAGGTCAGCAAGGTGCATGCTGCCCGGGACCCCTGCAGCTCAGATCAGGCGGGGGTCAGCAAGGCGCACGCTGCCCCGGCCCCGCTGCAGCTCAGATCAGGCGGGAGGTCAGCAAGGCGCACGCTGCCCCGGGGCCCCTGCAGCTCAGATCAGGAGGTCAGCAAGGTGCATGCTGCCCCGGGACCCCTGCAGCTCAGATCAGGCGGGGGGTCAGCAAGGCGCACGCTGCCCCGGCCCCGCTGCAGCTCAGATCAGGCGGGAGGTCAGCAAGGCGCACGCTGCCCCGGGGCCCCTGCAGCTCAGATCAGGCGGGAGGTCAGCAAGGCGCACGCTGCCCCGGTCCCCCTGCAGCTCAGATCAGGAAGTCAGCAAGGTGCATGCTGCCCCGGCCCCGCTGCAGCTCAGATCAGGCGGGAGGTCAGCAAGGCGCACGCTGCCCCGGGGCCCCTGCAGCTCAGATCAGGCGGGGGGTCAGCTAGGCGCACGCTGCCCCGGGGCCCCTGCAGCTCAGATCAGGCGGGGGGTCAGCAAGGCGCACGCTGCCCCGGCCCCGCTGCAGCTCAGATCAGGCGGGGGGTCAGCAAGGCGCACGCTGCCCCGGGGCCCCTGCAGCTCACATCAGGCGGGAGGTCAGCAAGGCGCACGCTGCCCCGGCCCCGCTGCAGCTCAGATCAGGCGGGGGGGTCAGCAAGGCGCACGCTGCCCCGGTACCCCTGCAGCTCAGATCAGGCGGAGGTCAGCAAGGTGCATGCTGCCCCGGGACCCCTGCAGCTCAGATCAGGCGGGGGGTCAGCAAGGCGCACGCTGCCCCGGGGCCGCTGCAGCTCAGATCAGGCGGGAGGTCAGCAAGGCGCACGCTGCCCCGGCCCCGCTGCAGCTCACATCAGGCGGGGGGGGGGGGGGGGTCAGCAAGGCGCACGCTGCCCCGGCCCCGCTGCAGCTCAGATCAGGCGGGAGGTCAGCAAGGCGCACGCTGCCCCGGCCCCGCTGCAGCTCAGATCAGGCGGGGGGTCAGCAAGGCGCACGCTGCCCCGGCCCCGCTGCAGCTCAGATCAGGCGGGAGGTCAGCAAGGCGCACGCTGCCCCGGGGCCCCTGCAGCTCAGATCAGGCGGGGGGTCAGCTAGGCGCACGCTGCCCCGGGGCCCCTGCAGCTCAGATCAGGCGGGGGGTCAGCTAGGCGCACGCTGCCCCGGGGCCCCTGCAGCTCAGATCAGGCGGGGGGTCAGCTAGGCGCACGCTGCCCCGGCCCCGCTGCAGCTCAGATCAGGCGGGGGGGGTCAGCAAGGCGCACGCTGCCCCGGCCCCCCGCCGCTCACCCCACCCCCGTGCACTGCAGCCCGCGCGCCCCACCTGGCAGCGCACCACCTCGCTCCCGTCCGGCCGCACCGGCGGCGGCTCGCTCAGGCAGCACATGAAGAAGGACGTGTCGAAGCGGCGGCCGCCGGGGCGCGTGAACGGCGTGAGCCAGCCGCCCCAGTCGTGCAGCGCCCAGATGTCGGGCGTGCAGTCGAGCTGCTCGCACAGGCTCAGGAAGAGGCGCGGGTCGCGGCGCACGCGCTCGCGCCAGGCGTCCAGCCCCGGGGGCGGCGGCAGGGCCCGGGCCGGCTCGCGCGCGGCGGGCGGGGCGCCGCGGGGCCGCAGCAGCAGCACGCCCGCCTCCTCGAACGCCTCGCGGACGGCGCACACGCGGGCGGCCACGTCATCGGGCAGCGCCGCGGGGGCCGCGTCATCGGGCTGCGCCGCGGCGGCCCCGTCGGCGTCCGGCAGGCCCGGGAACGGGCGCGGCGGCGGGCGCGCGGGGCGCAGGCCGAAGCGCGGCGGGCCGTGGTGCGGCGCGAACAGGCGCAGCCAGTCGGCCGAGCGGTCGGCCGCGTCCTGCACGCCGCCCGGGAAGACGTGCGCGCCGGGCAGGAAGCCCTGGTCCTGGCAGCGCTGCAGCAGCAGCAGGCGGAAGCCGCCGGCGGGCAGCGGGGGCAGCGGCGGCAGCGGCGGCAGCGGCGGCGCGGCGGGGCTCGGGCGCGTCCAACCGGCCGCCAGCACCACCGTGGCCGCCCGCCGCCAGCCGCTGGCCCTGGGCCGCAGGGAGCCGCTCATGGCGGGCGGCGGGAGCTCGTCCGGGGCGCGCAGACCCAGGCTCGGGGCGTGGCGCGCGCGGGGGACCGAGGCCCCGGGGGAGGGGCGAAGCGGCGCCGCCCCCGCGGGGCGTTGGCTGGGCCGGGCCCGGGACTCCGCGGGGATCCCCGCCGCCCGCCCCGCGAGCTCCTCGTCCGCGCCCCGGACGCTGGGACCCAGGGCGGCCGCGCGGCGGGGCGGGGCGGGGCGGGGCGGGGCCTCGGGGTCCGGGGGTCTCCGGGCGGGGCCTCGGGGTCCCGGGGCGTGACCTCGCGGTCCGGGGGTCTCCGGGCGGGGCCTCGGGGTCCCGGGGCGTGACCTCGCGGTCCGGGGGTCTCCGGGCGTGACCTCGGGGTCCCGGGGCGTGACCTCGCGGTCCGGGGATCTCCGGGCGTGACCTCGGGGTCCCGGGGCGGGGCCTCGGGGTCCGGGGGTCTCCGGGCGGGGCCTCGGGGTCCTGCGGTCTCGGCGTGACCTCGGGGTCCCGGGGCGTGACCTCGCGGTCCGGGGGTCTCCGGGCGTGACCTCGGGGTCCCGGGGCGGGGCCTCGCGGTCCGGGGGTCTCCGGGCGTGACCTCGGGGTCCCGGGGCGGGGCCTCGCGGTCCGGGGGTCTCCGGGCGGGGCCTCGGGGTCCCGGGGCGGGGCCTCGCGGTCCGGGGGTCTCCGGGCGGGGCCTCGGGGTCCCGGGGCGTGACCTCGGGGTCCGGGGATCGAGTCCCGCACGTGGGGAGCCCGCTTCTCCCTCTGCCTGTGTCTCTGCCTCTCTCTCTCTCAAAAATAAAATCTTCTTTTTAAAAAAAATGCTTAGGGGTGTACGTGACCTGCATGGTAAGAATGCAGTGCAGCTTTGCCACCAGGCCTGGTGACCCCTGCACCACCAAACGACCAAGAACTAAGACTTAATCCCTTGGACGGCGGGTGAACACGGAAGTATGTTCTCTTTAGCAGAGAAGGTCCAAAGGGTAGGTCTCTAAGCTTTGCAGGCTCACCTGACCCCAGCCCTGAGGACCTGATGGATGAACCCCACCCGAGTTAGGAGTTCCCCCACTGCTAGGCCTGAATGTGAAAGGTCCTTGGGTTCCTGCCCCTCGGGTAATCCGTCTTGTGTTCTGGACACTTTTTATTGCCAGGGCACCTGGGACCACCTTAAGCATCTCAGAACATTTGATGACTTCCACCTTGATGGGAGATGTTAAACCCAGACCTAGAGATGGGAATTTTTCTCCACTTCGCTTTCTTAGTGGCTGGAATACACTCACGTCCCAGAGAAAGCCTGCTTGTCTTCTCTTTTACAACTCCTCAGTTGCCAACAGCTCCTCCCACAAATGCTGTGACGACATTTGTTGTGCTTTTGGATGAAATCTAGACTGTTGGTGGGCCTCACTGAAGAGCAATCCTTTTAATGTCTGTTGTTTCCTGGGGGAGAATCCACAGGTGGCACTGCCAGCTTTTTTTTTTTTTTTTTTTTAAGCATTATTTTCTAAAGGTGCAAATCCCAGCATTGGCTGTATCCCAGAAACAAACAAACAAAAACGGGGCCACATACTGAGAAAAGCGCACATATGGAGGCCAAGAGAGGACGTATATCCAGTGAGAGGGTTTCCTGACTCTCATCTACCTTGGGTCTGCAGAATCCACGGGAACCCCTTTCTGAAACTGCTTCCTAAATGCAGTTGGCTCTCTGCTCGGAGAACACCATTTCGGAATCTGTTGCAGAGTCTGGAGTGGCACCCTGGAGCATGTATTTTCACAGTCCCCGACTCCGCGGGTGATTCTGGTGCCGTGAGCCATGGGAAGCTGTGGAAGGTGGTGAAACGATTGAGTTCATGTCCTTAAAGGTAACCCTAACAGCGGCACGGTGACTCGATTGGATGGCGCTGGACTGGAGACCCCCGGACTGTGCTACGCAAGAACTGATGAAGGCCTAAACTAAGAGAGTGGCCATGGAGAGAGGATGACGTGGGAGAAAGGAATGATTTACAGAGTATTTAGGAGGTAGACTTGATGTAATGTGGCAATTGGCTCAATACGCAGAGCAAGGGACAGGAAGGAGTTAAGTCCTAGCTTGGGAGATTCAGGTAATAGTTATGCAATCCTAGAAGGTGTGATAATAATGATATTAAGCATGTGCTGTGTGTGAGGCATTAGGAACTTTGTAAGTATTAGCTGTATAATCCTCACAAAGCCTTACAAGGTGGAAATAGTCACGCCCTCTTACAGAAGAGAAACTATTCAGGGAGGGGTTAAGTCTCTTAAAATGGGATACACTAGTCTCTTCACTGCAGAATGAGACCATCGTTCTGTAGCTAAAAATGTTTATTTTGGTATCAGCTAGTTTTCCCAAAGGCTGGTCACCCCTGAGTGAGATGACCAGGTTCTAGAGTGTGTAGCAAACTTTGGTGGGGTCTTAACCAACACAGAACAATCTGGAGAGCCTCGCACTGCCATGTTGGCCCTAGGGGGCTCTGTGTGGTTATGCAGTACCAGTTCATGTATGTATCTGCAGGGGACATTCTGTGACCTCAGTTATCTGAACTGTAGCCAAGAGCAAGAACAGAAGCAAACAATAAACCCTGGAATAGCAGGAGGGATGCAAATATCACATTCAGATCTAATGTGCTCTGCTCAGAGGGAAAATTAATTTGGAGACATATTAATCTATTGCTCTTGACTAATTCCTCTGAAACCTGATGGCTTACAATGATGAACACTATCTCACAGTTTCTGTGGCTCCTGTGGTTCAGGAGAGCATCTTAGCTGGGTGGTTCTGATGACTCTGTGTCTCCCATGAGATTGTGATCAGCCTATCAGCCGGGGCTTGACTGGGCCTGAAAGATCCGTTTTCACAACGGCCGACTCCTATGGCTGTTGGCTGGGGGCCTCAGTTCATCTCTACACTGGCGTCTCCATAGAGCATTTGAATGTCTTTGAGATTGGGCGCTTGACTTTCTCCAGAGAGAGTGGCCCAAGAAAGAGGGAGAGAGAAGCCATGATGCCTCTTAGGACTTAGCCTGAGGAGTCACCTGCCATTTCCACAGTATCCTATTTTTCCACTAGTCTTCTCTCTTCAACGTGGACGGTCACTACACTAAAACAGCAGGACGTGGGGAATCATTGGGGGTCCTCTTGGAGGCTGTAGTCACAGCGGATTAAAAAAAAATAAAAATAAATAAAAATAAATGAAGCCCTCTAAGCATTAGAATAAAACAGGTAAAGTCCTCTATAATCTTTGACTCAAACTTTAGAAGCAATAAGGGAAGAGACTGGTCGGTCAACCTGTCCATACTGTTGTTCTCTCCATACTTATAACTTTATTTTTTTTAAATTTTTTTTTTTTATGATAGTCACACAGGGAGAGAGAGAGAGAGAGGCAGAGACCCAGGCAGAGGGAGAAGCAGGCTCCATGCACTGGGAGCCTGATGTGGGATTCGATCCCGGGTCTCCAGGATCTCGCCCTGGGCCAAAGGCAGGCGCCAAACCGCTGCGCCACCCAGGGATCCCCTACTTATAACTTTTTTTTTAAATTTTTTTTTAATTTTTATTTCTTTATGATAGTCACAGAGAGAGAGAGAGAGAGAGAGAGAGAGAGAGGCAGAGACACAGGCAGAGTCTGGAGAAGCAGGCTCCATGCACCGGGAGCCCGATGTGGGATTCGATCCCGGGTCTCCAGGATCGCGCCCCGGGCCAAAGGCAGGCGCCAAACCGCTGCGCCACCCAGGGATCCCCTACTTATAACTTTATCACAACAAAAACGGCATAAGAAAGCCTAAGACGTAATAAACTGGAAAAGTGATCTGCAATGACTGTCAGAAAGCGTTAAGCCTCCAGATGTATAGAAAAATGGGCGAGGAAAGAGTTTGGTGTGATTATTTCAGGTCACGGCTGATGTGTCTGTCTCCAGACGTGGACACAACTCTCGGTGTGCCCTGCCCAGCCCTGTCCTGCCAGGGCCATCGTGCCAGCTGCTCCAGCCAAACAGTAAGTGTGCGCAGTGATCCGCTAGTAGCGCCAGCAGTTTCCATGTGCCACTTGGTCATGAGAGAGTGAGTCACTTTGCTTGACACATTTGCTTACTTCATAGCTAAGGACAGTTGACTCTTCATTCTTCTGTTCTACAGGTCCTGCCCAGCTTTATTTACAATAGAAAAAGTCCTTGTTTGATTTATAAGAACATGCTAAACCTTAAAAAAAAAAAAAAAACACTTTCCAAACGTATCCTACTCTTTATCTATAGCCCCAGGCAATCTTATTTTGTCGAGTTCAGCAAGGCCAAATTCCTTCCTGTTATCCATTATTTATCAGGTTTTTCAGTGAAAACGGAAAGAAAAGGAGAGAACGTGATCTACAGGGCTAGCCACAGAGAGAGAACTTGGGCGCCTTCAGCTTGGACACTGGCTGGTGGCAGGGAAGCCTGCCAAGCCTTCCCAGAAGCCGAGGGGTGTCACCCGGGGTTCAACAAAATCCACCTGCGATCGACCAGTAAAATGCTGTGCGCCACAAATCGCCATGTAAAAATTATTTCTCCAGATGTTTTTTGAGAAGGAATTTAAAAAGATTCACAGCACTGTTTTCTCGAAAATGTATAGACTCCATTTATGGAACATTCTGGAAAAGGCAAAACTATGGGGAAATAAATGAGGTCAGTGGTTGGCAGATCCTGGGGTGGAAGGAAATCATTGACTAGGAAAGTATGTGGGTGGGGGGGGTAGGGGGATGAAAATGTTGTCCTGCTTGTGGAGGTGGTTACAGGATTGCACACCTTTATCAGAACTCAACAGCACTCAGAGGAGAAGGACAAATGTTACTGTATTTAACTTATACCTCAATGCGTTCGACTTTAAATTGCACAGAGTCCAACTTCCAGATAAGTCTGTACATGACCTTCATATTACATACCTTCCGTCATTTTGACTTGATCAATAATAACAGCCGTGGCAGCCAACATTTATTGAGCCCTGTGCCCAGATAAAAATCTTACACTGATACCCTTAAGAAATCTTAATCTGATACCCTATTATTGCTCCCATTGCGAAGGTAAGGACACTGAGGTCAGAGACATTGAAGAACTTCAGTGAGATGGGATCTGAACTCAGGTGTCTACACCTTATTCCATAACCTCAAGGCTATCGTGTTCCTGATACTACATTTCAGAACTTCTGATTCTCTGGGGTAGGATTCCAAAAGCGTTTTTACTTTGCTTTTAGGGGAGAAGGTTCTGAAATCATTTCTCATTACACTCTGAGACCCTGTTAATATTTATATTTTAATGACAATAATACTTTCTAGATGATAAAAGCATTCAAGATTTTATTGTAAAAACAATATAACATGAAATTATTGGGAAAAAACCCCCACCATTCGTAATCCCACCACCTTCACAAGCATCTTCATTTCTGTACATATCCTTGTAGATCTCCATATGCCTGACGCATCCATACAGGCAGGGGACACTCAACTTCGCCTTCTGGCAACAGCATCTTAAAAAAGACTTCAAAATCATCTTGTCAATGGGAGCTGAGGTTTGGCTTTTTTACCTTTGTCATGTAAGCTTAAGGTTATAAATACCAACAAGGATGCCCAAGACCTCAGAGCGCTACAATGAAAACACCCAGAATCCTCTGTGGAATGATATGAAAATAAGTAAATGAAAAGGAGCAATGGTTTTTTTTTTTTTTGTTTTGTTTTGTTTTTTTTTTTTTTTTTGAGAAATCTGGCCTTTCCCCGGGGACACAGGGCTGCAGCATGTGGTCAGTTCCTGCTCCTCTGGTCAGGTCTTAAGAGCCAAAGAAATAGTATTTGAATATGACTTTGATCTGTGTTGGCCACAGCCAAAGATCGTTCATGTGGAGACCTACTGTTCTTCCCGTTTCCATCCTGCATTACAAGATGAGTATAATCATACTGTACAGAAGCACTTGGAGATTTAAAATCCTGGAGAATTTCTGAACATCTCTTTATGGAATGAAATCGGTGAAGGGTAACAATGTTGATCAGGACATTCACTCACTTCAGGTGGGAATAAACATTAAGAATATATACGTATTTTTAAAAAAAATCACCAGAGTTGATAGCTGAATCATTTGAGGGTGTCTTTTCCAACTAAGTTATCAATGTTGCACGTTACCTCTGATTTTTTAATTTAATAAAAAATTTCAGTCAATCACCCAAACCATTGACATGAAGCCTTTGATTCCACCTTAGATCTGATGCCGCGTACAGAACCACCCACGCTGTGCTCCCGTTTCCTGATGTCAGGCAGCCAACATAGAGTTCTGAGGGCACCAGGTTACTTACAGAATAGGATTAGGATTTTCCCAGCCTCTGTGGATAAATGACAGTTTCACATCCGTAATTTCCCAGAATCAGTTTAGGTGGCCACATTGCTGTTTCATCCACACTAGGCTTTCTCAGACTCAGACTTAACAGTCTGAATCAAAATTCCCAATCTAGGGATCCCTGGGTGGTGCAGCGGTTTGGCGCCTGCCTTTGGCCCAGGGCGCGATCCTGGAGACCCGGGATCGAATCCCACATTGGGCTCCTGGTGCATGGAGCCTGCTTCTCCATCTGCCTCTCTCTCTGTGACTATCATAAATAAATAAAAATTAAAACAAAAAAACCCAAATTCCTAATCTAATTTAAATACTACAAATAAGAAGCGTTTACACAGACTTGCTTTTAAGCCCATCCTCTAAGTCTGATATGGACCCAAATCACAGTAAGCTCGGTTCATTCTGAGTTTTTAAGTTCCTACGGAATTTTATCAACAGACTAATTCTAGATAATAACCACCAAACTGTAACCTTTCATTTCAGTACGTACCCAAACCAACAATAACAACCCCAACCCCCCCCCCCAAAAAAAAAAAAACAAATGGAATAACCCTTTCTGGTTTAACTGCATTCTGTGAAATGTTTTCAACTCTGGAAGGGACCTCTGAGTCAATTGGTCAGGGCTCCCCTCGTGTCACCACCGAGGGAACCCAGGCACAGGAAGGTCAGTGACTTGTCTGAGGTACTTGGAGAGACAGGGAGAGCCTCTGCCCATCACAGCTGAGCTGGCCTCGAGGGCGAGGCACCCCCCCCAAAGGAAGACAGAGGTAAGTCCTACCTTTTTTATTTCTCAGGCTGACACACGGGGCTCACATTCAGGGGTTCACCCCCTTAACAAGCATTCATTACAGAAGGGAGGGCTACATCTGAAAAGCAACCCAGGAGCTAAAAATATATCAATGTGCAGGCTGAAAAGGGAAATGCAGCATCATCAGGATCCGCACCTAAGTAAACCCCAGACTACTTGTCATTTGACATCACACATCTCCTTAGGAGCTTACTGTAAACCTCAAGTAAATCTTACGGGTTATGTTCTAATTTTCCTTACCAAGAATCTTTCCCTTGCAGCATTTGAAAGCCTACGTTCTTAGAGCACACACACAAAAATGAATTTACCAGGCATTTTTTTTTCTCTCCTACGAACTAGTGTTTGTTAACTACTAGCAATAGTTCATCGTTTCCCTAAGTGCCTTGACATTCCAATTGCCTGTCTTCTGGAAATCAAACAGTACTGTTTTCCCAAACGAGAAGTCAGAGATATTTTCTCTTTACAGTTATTTATCATAGCATTTAACCTTGGAAATAAAGATCTATCCTTTGACATACCTTTAACTTGGGAAACTAGATGGTTTTGTTTTTTGCCACAGACTCTAACATTGACCTCGTCGTATACGTCCTATGCTAAACATTTTAAATCTTGTTCCTATACTTGTATCATGGTATATAAATCATACCAGATGTTTTTAGAAAATTAATGACTTTGATACCAAGCACCTAAATCAAATCGGGCTTCTATCAGAAAGCAATGTCTTGAATTATATACATAGAAATGAGAGCAGAGAGAGAGAGCGACAGCGGCCTATTGCTCAAGGAGAAAGTGACTCTGCTTGCACCACGTAGCGGAAGTTCTGGTAGGCAATGTTAGAACTCCAAATAATATAAAACGTTCTTAATGCTTAAACCTTTCAAACACACACACACACACACACACAAAAAACAAAAAACCTTTCAAACACAGAGTTGTTTAGGTTAATAGGCCTGCAGGATAAATACATTCATTGTAATTCAGCTTTTGTGCCTGAGTGTCAAACATTTTATTCCTAATTTCAGCGAGCAGAGGACTCTCAGAATTAGGTACACACCTGATTGCACATATAATTAAATACCCAAAGATCTGCGAAATGGGTGGAAAGGGTGATAATGACATTTGTCCCAATTGCTCTCTATGGATTATGCAACATCTGATGGATTTTTTTTTTCTTCAGTAGGTTCTGCTGAACAATTTTTTTTTGTCGCCATCATGAACCAAAACAACTCGATAGGAACAGAAGGGTCACTGCATTAGAAACAAGAATAGGGACGCCTGGGTGGCTCAGCGGTTGAGCATCTGCCTTCGGCCCAGGGCATGACCCACACTGGGTTCTCTGCAGGGAGCCTGCTTTTCCCTCTGCCTATGTCTCTGTCCCTGTGTGTCTCTCAGGAATAAATAAATAAAGTCTCTCTCTCTCTAAAAAAAAAAAAAGAAAAGAAACAGAAGAGTATATATAGGGCGTGGCGTTTAAAGGATGTTTTCCAACATTGTCTCACAAAGTGCCCATCCTCACGGAGGGGGACACTTGACGGGATAAGCACTGGGTGTTATTCTGTATGTTGGTAAATTGAACACCAATAAAAATTAATTTATAAAAAAAAAAAAAAAAAAAAAAAAAAAAAAAAACAAAGTGCCCATCCTGCTTTAGTCTGGAAGAACCAAAACTTTGGGGAAAGTGACAGACATTCTGTATTGTGTTGTGTCCAGGAGGGGGATGAGGGTATGAGGGGAGTTAGAAAAATTTTGTGTCGTCTGTGAAGTTACCCTGGGCCGGCAGGTGCAAAAAGAATTTGAAGTGGCCTCTATTCAGATGAGGCAGAAGGTGTTCCTTTTATTAGTTAAGTCATAAAACTGTTAATCGGTTTAAGACCTTGTGTTTTAAAACTATTATCTCTCTCTCTCTCTCTCACACACACACACACACACCCCATATTTCCACTATGAGGTACTGGAATCTCCTGCTGAGGCTGGAAGGGTGGCCCCCAGCACTGGGTGCCAAGGCTGCAGGACTGCTGCTATGTGTCCCTGCCCCTCGGTCCTCCAAGCTGGCCTTGTGAAACTGTCAATTCCCTCCTCCCGGTGGAGGAGTAAATATTTGACCACTTTCGGGGTAAAAATGGGAAAAAAAAAAAAATCCTGGTTAGTTTTCAGCCAAGCCAAAGTCTCTGGGTTTGATTCCTAATTACCTTTTGAGAGTTAAATGCATGTGTTTTCTTAGCCTTATTTCCCCAACATTCTCTCTGCACCACAGGTGGCAGGTGGCGGCACTGCTCATGTAAATTCCAGCCTGGGACCCAGGGCTTTCTACCTTAACTTACTGAGCAAAAGAAGCCTGTATGCGGACCGTGGTTCTGGAAGATTATGCTACGGCCTCCTGCCTCCAAGACGGCCTATTTTAATAACAGATGCACATTTACTAACTTATGTAAGTAGAGACCACAATGTTTGACTCACTGGCACGTATGACACCGTGGCCAAATGTCCTCTATAAAAAAACCAGCTTTGATAGAACAGAATATGGTTATATGGGTTTTCTTTCGAAATGGTTACGGTTCTTAAGAAGCTGCTGAAATGCCAAGCGGGGGCTGCTGCTTCTAACCCAGTCTCAGGGATAATTGGTTCAAACAGCCTGTGAGGTTTACCCTCCCAGGGGTCAGTGTGAGGGTCAGGGAGCTGCCCAGCTTCCTCCAAAGCGAGCTCTCCTACTGGCTAGCAGGCAGATTCCAAGGGATAGAAAGGATTAAGGGCAAAGAGGATTCTGCAGCCCTCCCCCAAAGGAGGATCAAACAACTCTGGTCTAGTTCTGGAACAAAAATAAGCCCCGGCAAAGGAGAAAGTGCCTGTTCCAATAGCATATGTCCCGTCCCAAAGCTTGAGGCCCTCGAGGCTGACTGGAGAGAGCCCTTTCCAATAGGCAAGGGGGTGTAGTGGATCCAAGCCCCTGGAGGCAGTTTCCAGGTGTCTTCTCTGGTTTCCTAAGTGCGGAGGGTCAGCACTTGAGGGGGACGTCAGGGCCCCAAACCTCTTCTAGCTGTTTCTGTTAACCAACAGATACACTCTGCCAAGAAGCTCAGTGGTGCGCCTTAGAAAAAGCACTTTGCACCCGCTTCTCTTTGCACACTCTCCTAGGCTTAGGCCCAAGGGATTAAGGTAATAAAACCTGCTTACATCTTCTTAGTTTTTTTCCCCCCCCAGCAGGAAACAAACCCGCCCCCCACCCACTTCATTCCACCTCGGCCCCCCCTTTCAAACCGGCCCACGCGAGTTTGGAGGGGGGGGATCGCCAGTGGGGTGGAGACCACCCACGTCACACTCCCTACACGCGCCCCTGGCAGCACACGTGGCAACCCATTAACTCAGAGAAATCTGGGGTCACTGTGGACGGTTTTCTACTCATAAGAGGATAAAGCTGCTGCACTGCAATAGCGGTGATGCCCGGGCGGCCCGCGCAAAATTAACTCCTCCCGGGCCAGCAAGAGGAATCCGTGTTCCGCCCGCCCGGGGCAGAGGGGCGTGTGCTTGGGACGCGCAGGTGTGCCCGCAGGTGTGCCCGCGGGTGTGCCCGCGGGTGTGTGCCCGCGGGTGTGCACACTCAGGGGTTGAGGGCCGCTCCCTTACACGTGCCGCATCCCGCTCCGGTCCCCGTCCCGAGTCCAGGCACGGCCGTCGTTCCCGAGGGGTGTCTCCGGGGAGGGACGGAGGGAGGGAGGGGAGAGGCGCAGGGCTCGTGCGTCCGTGTGTCCGTCAGCTCAGCTTGGCCACGCAGACGGCCAGGGCCACGGCCGCCAGCAGCACGGCGCTGAAGACGGCGGCGGCCAGGGCCTTGCTGGGGTCGCAGGGCCCCGAGCGCTCCTGCACCGACGCGGGGCCCACGGAGGCGGCGGCGGACAGGAGCTCGGCGCCCGCCGTCTGCCGGGCCTGCACGGTCCAGCGGGGCACGTTGACCTTCATCTCCATGTCGTGGATCATGTCGCTCACCTGGAGGACCTCCCGCTCCAGCTCGCGCAGGTCGTCCCCGTCCCGGTCGCCGTCCCGGTCGCCGTCGCCGTCGCGCTCCGCCAGGTGCCGCAGGCTGCGGGCCGAGCCCCCCGGGCCCCCCGGGCCCCCCGCCACGCCCGTGCGCACCAGCGGCCGCCGCGGCGCCTGCAGCGGGAAGGCCGAGCCCAGCGCCAGCGCGCGCCGCATGTCGGCCTCCAGCAGGTCCAGGCAGCCGGAGAAGGCCGCCCACAGGCGCTCGAACTCGGCGCGCTCCTCGCCGCCCAGGCCCCGGTCGCGCAGCGGGGCGGCCAGCCGGGCGCGGGCGGCCGCCGCCAGCTCCTGCGCCTCGCGGCGCGTCCTCCGCAGCTCCTGCCGCAGGGCCTGCGAGTCCGCCGAGCCGCCGACGGTCAGCGCCAGCAGGTGGTGGCACGCGGTCGTCCTGTTGAGCGCGTCCAGCAGCGCCTCGCACTCCTCCCGCGCCATGGCCGCGCGCTCCGCTCTCGGACGGCGGCCCGGGCGCGGCTCATGGCCCGGGGGCCCCCGCGACGCGGCCCGTTAGCGGCGCCCCGGGCCCTCGCCCATCGCGCCGGGCGTCTGCGCCGCCCTCGCCGCCAAGGGCGCTCTCGGCGGAGGCCCGCGGGCCGTCCCCATCCTCCCCGGGGCCGTCCCGGGGCTGGCCGCCGCCGCGTCGGGGATGCCAGGACCCGCCCAGGGCAGGGATGGGCGGGCCCCGCGCGGGAGGTCACGTGCAGCCCCCCCCCCGTCTCCCCCTTCTCTGCACCCCATTACCGCTCTGGAGCACCAGCGCCCTGCAGCCCCAGCCCTCCGCTACCGTACAGATGGGGAAACTGAGGCCCGGGCTCCAAAGAGGGGGAGGGCAGGCTCACGCGGCGCCCACGCAACCGAGGGAACCGGAACCCAAGGACCCCAACTGCCAAGCCCCTGCCAGACACGGGGCGCTGTGCCCCGTAGGATGGGCGCCTCCGTCCCCCACGGCGGGCTGTAAAGGGCGACCGCAGGGCGGGCCGGGCCCCGGGCTCCCCCGCGCCGTGCAGCCCGCTTTCCAGGAACGCGGCGCGGACCCCACCTCCAGGGTCACACCGGCTCTGCCCCGCCCCCTCCCGTCCCGGGCATGCGCAGTCCGCGGCTCCGGGCCCGGGCCGGCCCGAGGAGGAAGCGCCGTGCGCCGCCCGCGCCCCTCCCCGGCAGGGCGGGCTCCGCGATTGCTCGCCGCGCACGTCACTCAGGGCGAGGCCGGCCGCTCATTGGGCCTTGCGGGGGCGGCTCCGCCCAGCGGCGGAGTACAGAGGTGGGCGGCGGGGCGGCCCCGCGGTGCTGGGGCGGTGGGCGCCGAGGTCGGCGCGGGGGCCCGGGGGGCGTCGCCGCCGCTCCGACGAGCGGGCGGTGCAACTATGTAGCCTTCCAGGTAAGCGTCGTCCCTCCTGCTGGGCCCGCGCCTGCCTTCCCGCGGGACGGTCGCCTCGGGGCCTAGAGGCCGGGCGGGGCCCCCGAGCGGGGGGAGGGGCTGTCTGCGCCCCGAGGGGGGCGGCTGCCCCCGGGCACCCCCCAGCCCGCCCCGCCCGCGCTCCGTCTGCTGCCGGGTGGGGGCGGCTGACCCCCCGCGAGCAGCACGGGCCAGCGGGCGCGGGGTCCTGGGAGCCCGGCTGGGGGCGGGGGCCGGGGGGGGGTCCGCAGCCCCGGGCCCCCGTGGCTCCCGGGGGTGGTGGAGGCGCAGCGGGGGGAGGAGGGAATCCCTGCCTGTCAGCCTGCGGAGGGGCCCGGCTCCAGGTCGCGCTGGGTAGAAATTACTCCGGGAAAACTTAAAGCAGCAGAGATGTTCCGGGCTCTGCGTCTGTTCAGCTCTTTCCGTCGAGCACGGACCCCCCCCCCCCCCCGCCCCAGGCGCGGGAGCCAGGCAGGGCCCCTGGAGACGCTGGGGACTTGGGCGCCGGACCCGGGAGCAAATGATGCGCCTTCAGCGGGGATTTAGGACACTCGGGGAAGGAGGGGCTGGGGAGACTGGAGGGACTGCTGGTTTGCCCGCTCTCCGGGGTTCTCCCAAGTTTACGGGTTTCATGGAGGAGAGGCCCCTATTTTGGTCAGCTCACCCTCACCCTCCCACCACCAGCCCCGGAGAAGAGCAGGGGGCCCAGTGGGGTAGTAGCGCTTTGAGTCCGCCTTCCCCGGCATGGTGTTGAGGTGGACCAGAAGACCCAGAGCCCACCGGGCCCCAGGGCAAACCCCCCCCCCCGCCCCTCACTCAGAGCTCTTGTCCTTTAATCTATAGATTTGGGGCCAGGGCTTGGACACTCCAGGCCTGGGCCATGCTCCACTGTGGAGGGTCTTATGGGGGCCTTGGCAGGGGGAGAGCAGTTTTCAAGACGAAATGGATAGAAGGAGGGAGAACCCATCACTTTGGGGAGCTTTGGGGGACAGCAGAGGGAGATGAGGCTGCAGAGATGGGTGGAAGGCCAGAAGGAGAGGCCCTTAATGGCAGGAAGAGAAACTGAGAGTTCATCTAGCAGGGAGTGAAGGGAAAGTCCTGGAAGAATATAGTAGCCCCCCCACTCCCCACTGCATCCTTTAGTCCATTGAGGATGGACTTGAGGAGGTGTCCCCAAGACCCCCAGGGGATGTTGGGAACCTTGGATAGTACCAAACCCTGTAGTCCATTTTCCCCCTGTCTCTATATAGCTATAAGTTTAATACATAAAATAAGCTTTGTAAGCGATTAACAAAAATAACAAAGTAGAACAATTGTTAACAATATGCTGTGATAAAAGTTATGTCAAGGTGGTGTCTCTCTCTCTCTCTCTCTCTCTCAGAATATCTTAATTGTACTGGGCTCACCCATCTTGTGATGCTGTGAGATGATAAAATGCCTCCGTAATGAGATGAAGTGAAAAGAACGATACAGGTATTGTGATGTAGTGTTAGCTACTACTGACTTTCTGACGATATGTCAGGACGAGGATCCGTCTGTTTCCAGACCCCGGTTGACCGCAGGGACCTGAAACTGGAAAGCACAACTGAGGCTCAAGGGGGACTGCTGCCCTATAGTAGACCTCAGTGTTGGAAAGATCACTTTGTCGTCTTTTACGTGGACCGTGAAAGGGAGAGGCAGAGGCCTCTGAAGGAGAAGTGCAGGATGGGAGCAGGGACAGATACTTCTGACGAGCCTCAGTGGCGGGAAAGCAGTTGGGGCTCTGACGCTGAGTAGCTCCCTCGAGTGAGCTCTCCGCGCCTGGGCTTGCCACCAGGAGTCATGCTGCCCGGCAGCATCACTGGGAGAGCAAGCGGTCTGGTCTGCCTAGGGCCTGGGGTCAAGGTCTTGATTGTGTCTCCTTGTGGCTCTTGGCACGATTGTTGCCCTCATGAGGACAAGTACTGGGTCTTTGTTACTCACACATCTGTGCACTGTTAGTGTTTCTGTGGGGCTCTCCCTTTGTTTATGAATTGCCAGGGTTCTCCGTGTCCAGCAACTTGATCCTCTCCTAGAGGAGCCGAGGAATGTGACCCTGTGATGATAGATACCGGACCTAGAAAGGATTCAGACCCAAAACCAGACCCTCCACGTGTGAGAGACACTGAGAAGTGGCCTTTGGAGCTCCTGCCCTTCTGGTCGAGATTCTGGCAAGAAAGTGGGTGCTGGTGGCACTGCCTGCAACTCCAGGAGCAGGGTGATGAGTGGTGTCCTCAGGGGTTGTTGGGTTCCTCCACACCCTCCTGCTCCCTTAGTGGTCACGCCCCTCTTCCAGCTCTGGGGCCTTCTTTCCCTGCGCTACTCACCACATTCCAGCTGTCACCGTGTTTAGCTAGTTCTGCGTGTATTGTTTGCTTCTGGTTTTTTGCAAGCGCCTGCGTGGCTGCCTGGGGCCAGCGTCTTACCCTCCCCTGGATGAGGATATCCAGGTTCTGTGAGAGATGACCCCTCCCTGGGAGCTTGAGCTTCCTCTAACACCCCACTATCATTTTGCTCAAGTGGACAAACAGTTACAGCATGCCTACAGTGAGCCAGGGGGCCAGGCACAGACTGGATGCTTTGAAGAGCTTTGAGAAAAATATGGCTAGGATCCCTAGATGATACAGTCCAGGACATAAGGGACTGTAATATCATACTGTACGTCACCCAGTTGTTTCCCGTTGCTATTAAACATAGATGAATTAGAAAGTTTTCCCTTTTTGCCTTTTCCGTCTGCATCGCAAATTAAACTAGTTGGAGACTATTGCTCATCATTTGGAAGATAGGCCTGGTCTGGGTCTTTGGTGAGGTCCCTGATCAAAGGATGGGAGCAGCTATAGCGGTGAGATTTTAGCTGGGAGTTTATCTCTGGGAGGCAAGGCACAGACTTTGCTGTGTTGGATTCTGCTGAGCCAGGCTGCACACGGTCACCAGACGGTCCCTGACCACCCAGCCTCATCTGGGCTGGTGGGACGGTTGTAGACCACAAAACCACAAGTGTGCACACCACCTCTTGAAATGTCCGGTACTAGTTTGGGACCTTGCCTGGCTCTCCTGTTCATGGAGTAAGCTCAGATAACTCACATTCAGCGGTATTTGGTATCTCTGGCTAACTTTGATGGATTTGCTGTAAATCATCCTATCAATTTGAGCTTAGGCAGGGGTGGAATTTTTTTTTTTTTTTCAAAAAAGAGTTTTATAAGAGGATTCGCTCATCTTTCCAGTTTTATAAGGAAGGGTCAGTTTACTCTGCATGTTATTTTCAAATATAAAATGAGGACACCTGGGTAGCCCAGTTGGTTAAGCGTCTGCCTTTTGGCTCAGGCCAGGATCACAGGGTCCTGGGATCCAGTCCCACATTGGGCTCCCTCTCCCGCTACACAGACACACACACACACACACACACACACACACACACGCGCGCGCTCTCTCTCTCTCTCTCTGATAAATAAAATCTTTAAAAAATATATAAAACTAATTCTTGCAACTAGATTTGTGAAGACGTTAACCTATTTTAAGCATTTACCCCCTATATAAGAATTCCATTCTGGCATTAAGCACCAGATTGTATTAGATTAGCATATGTTTTAAAACACTGCAACCAAAAGGTTGAGAATAGTATTGGACAGAGCTCCTAGAAACCCTTCCCCCCCGGATGGAGGGTTCAGTCATCGGCAACCAGGAGGAATGATGTCCAGGAGAAAACAGATGACTTGGGACTGAAACACAGCAAGCTCTGTCCCACTCACAGCAGTGCTTGCTCCCAGTCTTGCGTGTTCCATGCTCTTGAACTGAATGCTTTGATGTGGCGTTTAGGGGCCTCCCCTCGCCTTGCTGTCCCTCTCTGACCAGCACTGACTGGACTCATCTCATCTAGTCAAATAAATTTACTCTTGGGTTTTCTGTGCCCACAGGAACCTGTTCTTGCTTCTTGAACCTTTGCCTTGCTCTGGTCCCTGCCAGGGATGCCTCCCCGCCCTCCCCTGCTGCTCCCTTCTCTGTCCAGTCCTTACCTGTCCCAGCACTGCTCTGGGTTTGTTTTACTCTGCTGATGCACATTCCTTGCCTCCCAGCTAGGTTGCTACCTCCTGCATCCGAGCCCACCCTTGCCACCTCTGTCTTGGGTGCAGAGATGTAGGAGCTCTGCTGGCATCTCGTCTGAGGAGCAGAAGGAGCATCGCTTCCCAGCTTCATTCCGACCGCGTGGCATCCTGCCTCTCATGCGGTTTCTGCCCAAGGTGTCTTTACTTTAGCACGCTGTCCTGT